TTCCCGCCCGGGAGGACGCGGGCGGCGGGACCGCCCAGACGCGCCGCAGTCCCACCGCCTGGGTCCTCCACGGCTTTGCACTTGGGGTGCTGCCAGGTTGGTCCCCGCAGCGCTGAGGTGCGGCGCTGCGGAGACCTACCTGGCAGCGCCCCAGCTGCTCTGTCCCAGGCGTCCAAATTCAGCCGCTGTTAAAACTGATCAGCGGTTGATTCCAGGAAGCCCAGGGCGCGGCAACTCTGCCTCGGGCTTCCTGTAGTCAGCCGCTGGTCAGTTTCAGCAGTGGCTGAATCTGGAAGCCAGTTCCGACTTACATACAAATTCAACTTAAGAACAAACCTACAGTCCCTATCTTGTACGTAACCCGGGGACTGCCTGTACTTATTTCTCAGCTTGATTGCATTTTTCATCTTCACTGAGAAAATTCAAGGGAGCAACTCTGCCTCGGGCTTCCTGTAGTCAGCCGCTGGTCAGTTTCAGCAGTGGCTGAATCTGGAAGCCAGTTCCGACTTACATACAAATTCAACTTAAGAACAAACCTACAGTCCCTATCTTGTACGTAACCCGGGGACTGCCTGTACTTATTTCTCAGCTTGATTGCATTTTTCATCTTCACTGAGAAAATTCAAGGGAAATAAAACGAAATGGTATAGCAGGTTTTAATGTGACTCCAGATCACATAGCTGCATTTTATAACTCTTTAAAGTTCTTATTATTAAAATGTTTTGCAAAGGAAGAATAGTCTTGCAAGTAAGATTCAGCATGGAGACTGAGGACCTATGACTTATTTTCAGCTCTGCTGTAGACTTCTTGTATGGCCATGGGCCAGTCACTTAAGACATGCTGATGTGAGAATCCTGTTGAAGTAGATGGGAAGTAAGCAGGCTTGGTGCCTTAATAGGAGGCTCTTCAGAACTCAGGAGTCAATATCTTGAGCTTTCTGAGACTTCAATTCTTTGTCAGAAATGGGAATAAAGGTCTCTTATCTCATAGTGTCATAGTTAAATTTGTTAGTTTGTAAAAGAACAGTAGTATGTAAGATTCATGACTGGAAAATGTTACGTAAGTAGTATATTTTTATCATATAAGTATTTCACAAAAACATTTTTATTCTGTTTAGCAAACAACTGGTTTTAAATTCACTTTATGAATTTCACTTCAGAATACTTTGTCCTTTGTTATAAAATTGCATGGTATTTAGTGGTGTGCATCATATAGAATCATTCTACATCTTGTGACTGCATCTTCTGGGAGCTGCTACCTTTTAGCTGAAATAAAGATATATTTTATAAATGTTAAAAATGTGCGCAGATGAGCTATAGACAATTTTTAAGTAAAGTTACATATTTAAAATCCATCTATAACTTTTCCAGTACATAATAAGGATGTTAAGTAATGTTTAATTGACTAGTTGAGTAGTCGATGGAACTACTCGACTAGTCAATATTCACTTCAGCATTCCTCCTTAGAAATGTACAAGAGCCCCAGGAGGAGCTCTTACACATTTCAAAGGAGGAATGCAGAACTCCGTGTGCAGCTCGGGGTCAGCTGACCCTGGGCTCCATGCTGTGTTGCTGTTTTGAAATACCACATGAAGCTGGGACTCCCCAGCTGATCCTGGGCTCTGCGTGGCATGCAGCTGACCGCGGGTTCCCTTAAAAACAAATTTCTGTAAATTGTTGTAGAAAAAAGCTGTAGCCTTTATGGTATCTGGTAGTATGCTGTGATGTGATCTTATTTCAAGAATAGATGTACCATTTAGCTCCTTCTGACTAATTATAAATCTTATATTTAGTTATCGTCTTCAGCAATATGTCCCATGTATGGATTTTTATTATAAGAAATATAAAAGTTTACTTTGTGATCATATTTGCTTTCATACTACGTCCTGATTGAATGCAAAATCTGGGAGCATTGACTAGTAGAGCAGAAGCATAAAAAGTAACAGGCAGTGTATCTCACCAGTGTCACCCCATAATTTAGAGGTGGGCATGTCAGAGGCAAAATGATGTGTCATTGGGGGAAAGTGAAATCTGGCAAGGTGACCACACTTCCAGCTGCTTGCCCTGAGAACATGAAGAAGAAAAAAGAGTTTTGTTTCTAAAAATATTTTTGTCAGTGTGTTGACTGGAAAAATATCGCACTGGCTTTGTGCAACCTTGATAGTGCTCAATTTCATGAGGAAATGACTGCTTTTAGTTATGTCACCCTTTCCCCTGCATTTAATAAATTAAAAGTGTTTTAGCTACAGTTAATGTCACTTTGCATTTTTTCCAGGTGAAATAACAATGGATTCTATATTGTCTCAACTAAAGCAGCTAACTCCTGATGATCTTAGAGAAGAAATTATGAAAGCTGGACTGAAGTGTGGACCCATTACCTCGACTACCAGGTTTATTTTTGAAAAAAGATTGGCACAGTCTTTGTTGGAACAACAAGGAGGGTTGGAAATTGATGCAGCCACTGTTGCCGAGAAATTTTCTGAAAACACTGCATCTGATAGTGACCAGTCAGAAATACAAAGAGCTTTGAAATCTGCCACAGTGAACACCAAGAGTCATATAAACTTCTCTGAAGACGGAGATTTTGGGTACAATATGGGCCTGAATCCCCCAGAAGAGGAAGCTGTAATGCACAAGTCCTGTTCTGCATCAGTCTGTGGAGCAGTAGATACTGATGCACAAATAAATGCTCATACACCATCTAGAGACCCTCCTGTATACTATGGTGTATGTCCAGTTTATGATGACATTTTGGCAAGAAATGGTAATTTGCTTTTATAATTTCATGTGTTACACTATTTGTGAAGGACAGAAGTAGCATGTGCCTTTCACATTATATATTACAAAAGAGACTGTTTTTCAACTGTTGTATTCTTTTTGTAGGGATATAGCTTACTGCTTTTGGAAGAATTCTGTGCCAAAAATTCTGTGCACTGTATTTTAAAATTTTCTTAATATTTTATTTCTCAAATAATGCAACTTAATCACTCCACAGTTTCAGTTATTTTGGTAATTTATGTAAACTACAGTACATTGGTTGGAGAATGATAGTGGGGAGCACTGACGGAATTCTCTAAATCTCTTTTATCTACTAGTGATTAATCTAATTTTAACCTTTTATTTCTAGTTATTAGTCATCAAATGTATGCAAGCCATATATATGTTCAGTATTACATCATATGCAACTGAAACACAAGTCAGTGCTGGGGAATCAAACTCATAATTTAAATTGTACTACTAGGCATCATCCAAAATCTAGGTAGTAAACAGTTGAATTCATGGAACACATTTTGGTAGGAAAATTTTTCAGTGCCTACATTTAAATCAGTTCTAATAATAAAGCACCGTAGCGTTTGTAAGACCATACTGTCATTTACAGTAATGATCTTTTACACTGCTGAGGAAATGTATGTTGAGAATCCTTAAAACATTTTACTCACATGGAATTAAACACACACACACACACACACAATATTGTAAAATTCTGCAAATTTTATTTGTCAAAATAATACTACATAATCGTGCTAGCTTCAGTTATTTTGGTGATTTATTTTAAAATAATACCTGTCAGCAAGAACGTCTTTAACAATACAGATGCACACACAAATTCCCCCCGGGAGTAGAAAGTTAAACCACTATGACAACCCAGTTCCTGTTTCTCAACCATTCCTCCTCCACCCCTTCAGCCAATATTTTTATACTCTGACCCCTGGAGCCCAGCTGCAGGGCCTACACTTGCTTACACGTTTGCCCTCCTATCTCATAGTGCCTAGGAATACAGAGGGAGAAACAGCCTCATCCTCAATCCTAAACCTGTGTAATTTCCTGCAGACGGCCATCTCCCTCCCTCAGGGCAACTTGCCAGCTTCTGGGAACTTGCTAGCTTCCTCCCCCTCTCTGGTAGCATTGCCTATATGCAAGCTTGACTCTTCTGGGTCCAGCAGCACCACTGCCCGTTTCCATGAGGGAAAAGAAAATCTGCAACCAATGTTAACTTCTGCAGCATTCTGCATTGTGCAGTGGCACAGAATTCTTCCAGGAGTAAGGTTTTTTTTCACCTATTTTATGCCCTTGGGGGAATTTCCCAAGAATGGGAATAGTTCACCAACAACAATGGCTACATTATATTCTGCCTGATAGAAAATCAGGGAAGCTCTTTCCTATCTCTAAACATCCTGAAATCAATCTCCTTATGCTGGGCATCCTGCAATAGCAAGCCAGAGGAACAGTGTCTCTCATTTGGCTATGTCCACTAGGAAACCAGGAGGGGATTTCGGTAATTGGTGTCTACTACTGCATACCCAGCTGGTCCCCCTGTAAAATCTCTGCTGACCGTTGGGGAGGGTGCTGCTTCTCTTCAGAAGTCATTTTTGCACAGGGAATAGGGTTGCCAGATGGTTTAACCAAAAATACCGAACATTCTCTCCCTCCCCTCCCCCCCCAAAAAAAGAACCATTGGGAAAAAAATTCTGTTGAGGAAAAAAAGGGGGAGACTTAATTTAAAAATTAAAAAAACAGCAGTGTAGCCCTTTTAAGAAACGCTTTGGAGGCTTATTGGCCCTAACAGGCTGCCAATGGCTGCCCGCCATCTTGCCTCCCTGCACCGGGCTGGACAGCTTCCCCGTGGAACCCCGGTAAGCCAGGAAAAAAATCAGAAAATACCAGACATTTTAGGTACCTGGTAGTTTCTGAATTTTTTTTACCTGACAGGAGGCAAAAATACCGGACTGTCTGGTTTAATACTGGACACCTGGCAACCCTAACAGGAAAGTAAAGAAATCTGCAGATGGCATGAATTCTGTGCCTGTGCAGTATCACAGAATTCCCCCAGGATTAAACTGTTAGTTCAACTGAGGAAGTTATTGGGCCAGCAGAGTTATAATGTAACTTACATTGCCTTCTTTTAATCTGTTGTCAATGTTCATGATATTCATTTTTGCTTTTCAATAGGTACAAGTATCCAAATTAATCACAGCAAGCCAGTAACCTGGCAGTAGCCATCTATTTTGGTGTGGGTTGAGCGTGCTTTGATAAACGAGAAGCTTACAGTTGCAAATGATTATTGAAATACTATTTTGAAATTATTAAAATGACCTTAATAGCACTTAAGAAAACCCAAACAAACTAGGATTACAGACATGATAATCCTGCCCACCTGGAAGGGACTTGTCAAGCATGAAAGATTTAAAGACAGTGTGAGGGTGCAAAATACTATTGCCTCTTTGTTTTTATCATCCTTTTGACAAGGCTTGTGTAGGGCATGGGTTTTCAAATCATGGGAGAGGTGGCAGTACAAGCTTATCAGTGGGCATGAGGATCTGAGATGAAGTAGAACACTCTTGCATCTTTCTTCCCTTTTGAAGAGCTGAAGGCAGTGCCTTCCACAGATAGGAGCTGCTCCTCCAGGTTAGGCAGAGGCGGTTGGAGAACAAGCTTGTCCCCAACTACCTATTACTGGCCCGGTGTGGAGAGACCAGAAAATCAGAGAGGTCGAAATGCCAATAGTTATCCTTGGTGACCCAGCCTACTAGGGATGTTAGAAATCATTTTAGTGATTGAGTAGGCACAACAATTCTTAGTGGATATATGGTTACTAAAATGTGCTTCTGGCCTGCTCCCTTTGTGTCAAAAGCAGTAGCGCAGGATGGCTGATGGGGAACCAGTCCATGAGGGAAGCTTGTTTAAAAATCAGCTCCCTGTGCAGACTACCTCCCTCCTGCCACCCTGTTCATGCTAAAGAGGCAGCAGCACTGGAGAAGGGGCAAGCAGCTGTTAACGTGCAGGAAGCTAGCTTGAAAGCCAATTTCCCACATGTACTATACATGTACCAATGCCTTCCTGCCCCCATCACTCTGCGTTGCTGATAGAGGGAGTGCAGGGAAGATGGGGAGTCTGATAAGCCTAGGCTTATCAATTATTCATGTAGTCAATTACATGTTCACATCCCTACCAAGAACCTCAACTTTTTCAGTGTTGGGTGTACACTACTGTGAATTCAACCATTCAAGGTCAAAACTTGTGTTACTCCTCATGAAAAGCGGGAGTACCAAAATAGACTTCAGCAGCCCTTAAAGTCAACAGAATGGATTTGGTAGTGTTTAGAAAATCAACCTTCTGCAGCTAAATTTGACCTGTACTCCTAGTGTGGACCAGGCTTCAGCCTGGCTATGAGGGGAGAGGGGCTGTCTGGGCTATAAAAGAAGGAAACTGGCTGGACAGTGTGAGAACAGGTCAAGCTTGGGAGGAGAGGAAAGGGGTAAACACAAGGGACATGAGTTTCCAAATGGGGATGTAACAAAGTTGGGACTTTCTGATCTAGAGCACTGATTATCAAACTGTGATACATGGAGCACTTCTTCATGGTCTTCAAAACGAAACACTGAAAATTTAGTGGTATTTAATTAAATTTAGGGAGGTAAGTTTCTGAGACAATGTTGCCAAATGCTTTTACAGTATTATAAGGTTTGAATACTGTTGATCTAGAATAATGTGGTTAATTTGAGTTTAGAGCAAATCTTGTTTTCCTGTAATATCAACCATTGTTACTATTGGAATATCTTTTACTATTTGGTAACAGTTTTCTCTTTCTCTCTCAGATAAAATGTAGGGTATGTCTACACTACAAAGAAGATCTAAGCTGCTGCTGTTGGTCTTCCGAAGTTCGAATTAGTGGGTCTAGTTAAGACATGCTAATTCAAACTGAGGCACCAGTAATACTGCTCCCCACAAGGAGTAAGTGAAGCAATGAGAATGTTTGCCCCCATTGGCCTCCTGCTGTGTGGACAGCACGGGAACTCAATTTAGGATATATCCAGTTTAGCTATGTAATTAACGTAGCTGAAATTACATCTTTCTTCATTACATTAAGATTGCAGTGCTTCTTTTTGAATTTCTCATGTAAACTTTTATATTGGTTTATAGAATTTAAAATAAAAGGCAGAACAACAGAGTTAAAGCAAGCCCTATATCCTTATTAAAATGAAGCTCTTTGACATTCTTTCACCAGTTGTTCTATAGAGAGACAGCATTTTGTTTTAATGCCAAGGGCAGTATCCATGTGATGGAATGTGTGTAAAAATGTCTTTTATGAAAGATTTAATGTACATTGAAACTTTATGAAGATAACATCATTTATCTTCAAAACTTTGAGTAGTTTTGGAGTTTAGTATATTAATTCTGAATTACTTAAGTTATATAACATTGTACATGTATATAGTACTTCAAAACATTAACTCATTATTTTGCCCCAAACAAACACATACTGTACATTATTTTGTTGCTTCTTCTAGTCTGTGAAAAAATTATCTCAAAGTCTTCACATATTGTTTTAAATTAGATGTATTCACTGATTCTCATTTTTGGTATTAAGAATTTTTAAACAGTGCCTTCTATAAATCTTGATTTCTTCCTTTATTTAAGAAAATTCATGTCTGTAAATGGGTAAATATTAAATTTCACTGACTTGAATGGAATTAATTTTAGTTTTACAGACAATGCTGATATTTTTGATCTTTTAAAAAAGGAAAACAACAAGCATTGGCAAAACCCACTTCCTCAGCTGAGCAGAGTGGAGAGTGTTTCGCCCATGAAAGTTCATGATACTAAATACAGATATACATGTTAGTCTCTAAGGTGTTGCAGGAATTCTCGTTTTTAAAGTTAAAGTAATTCGGCTGTCCCTCTAATATCAGTCATTGGGAGATTTTTATGTGTTACACTGGGCACTGCTTATGAATTCTAGTCTGTTTTTAATTATATTATGTATGAATTTCTGATATTTTTAATGGCAGTTTGTCATTGTGGAGGTTTTACATATTTTGCTTGTTTTAAGGTTATGTTTAGAAAGTGATAGGAAATAAATAGTATACATCAATTCCAGTGTTTAGAATAATGGTTATAAATAATCCATTTGACCTACCATAAGAGCCTGCACTGAATGAGGGTCTCTACTAGATATTATTCAGAAGAAAGAAAAATGCTTTCTCACCTCATCTTTTCTTGCTTTTACACCACTTCTCAATAAGAATGTTAAAAAAGCAATAAGAAAGTAATCAAAACTTATTTACATAGGTTTGAACTGATGTCATCAGTACTTTGTATTATAAAGTTCTATATATTCCTTCACATCTCATAGCTACATGATGTTCCAAGGCCTCAATCATAATAATAATAGAAATGTAGCCGTGTTAGTCTGGTGTAGCTGAAGCAAAATACAGGACTATGTAGCACTTTAAAGACTAACAAGATGGTTTTTTAGATGATGAGCTTTCGTGTCTTGATCTGAGGAAGTGGGTCTGGCCCACGAAAGCTCATCATCTAATAAACCATCTTGTTAGTCTTTAAAGTGCTACATAGTCCTGTATTTTGCTTCAGTCAGAATAGTCTTTCTTATTTATGCATTTGATACACCCTACAATAAGATATTACCTAATCAGTTCCAAGTTGTCAAGGTAGCAGTTAGAGATGTGAAAGGTTAGCCTATAAACATCACCCTTAATGGTAATATTAAAGATTAACCTGGGGGGGGGCTGGGGCAGCTCCGTGCCGCTCCAGCTCTGTGCAGCCAGTGTGGACAGGGGCTGCTCCCAACCAGGGCATGGTGGGTAGGTAGCACTCTAGCACAGCAGGGCTATAGTAGTGCCCCTGCCCATCTTCCTTTAATCAGTTAACTGGTTAAATATCACATTTAACTGGTTAACCAATTAATTGGGATTTTACATCCATAATAGCAATTCGGAATATCTTCTGATAGAAGATAGGGGCTCTTGCACTCTGAAGCAATGATAATTTATTCTTTTCCAAGAATGCCATGCTCTTTAAAGTAAATCTAATGTCCAACAGAATAGAATACTTTTTACTTAATAAAAAGCTTTAGACACAGTGGCAGGGTTTCTGGGAATTATGACAGTAAGTCACTTTCACAATATATCTTCCTATATGAGACTAATTAATTACTGTGGCGATAAGTCATCTTAAAAAAATTACAGATTGATGCTCTTGGGGTTGTGTTTCTCCCTCTAGCAAAAGTTCCTGAAAGCATTGTAGTGATGCCAGATATGCTCCAGCCAAACCAACACTGATTAGAAGTGATGAAATTCTGCCTACCTAGTTTGTTAGAGGTAAAATTTATAAAGGTCACTTGAGACATTAGTAGGGATGTTCTTTATTACAGACTGCATCGAGAAGACCATTTTTGGTAGGTTTAAGCTTTAAGGCCAGTTTGACAACTTTTGTAATCTCATTCCATGATTAAATTTGACCTTGATGTTACGAAGAGAACTTAATTTCTGGCTCTAATCTTTCTATTCCAGAGAAAGTGCATGTTTATGAGGACAAAAAGGAAGCTCTACAAGCTGTTAAGATGATTAAGGGCTCCCGATTTAAAGCTTTCTCCAACAGAGAAGATGCTGAAAAATTTGCAAAAGGAATATGTGATTACTTTCCATCTCCTAGCAAGACTTCCTTATCTTTATCTCCAGTGAAAACGGGACCATTACTTAACAGAGGTGAGTAAAAGCATACATCTCTGTGTAGATTAAACGCATGCATCTTTGTATCAGAACTTTTTGGGAGGAGAATTTTGAAATTGCTAGTTAATCTGAAGGTAGCAGATGAGCCCTTCACAAATGTAGAATGCACTGTAACTTTTCTTTAATTTGGAAGATATTTTAAAAATCACAGAAATTGTACATTCAAACTTAACTGAGTTGACAAACAGATTCCTAACAGAGGGGTAGCCATGTTAGTCTGAATCTGCAAAAGTGACTAGATCTTTGCCCATGAAAGCTTATGCTCCAATATATCTGTTAGTCTGTAAGGTGCCACAGGACTCTGTCACTTTTGCAGATTCCTAACAGGTTCAGAAATAAAATCATTAAATGTAATCTTATCATAATCTTAATTGATAGAATTGAAATCAAAAGAACAAATAGCTTACAAGTTCAACATACATTTTTAGCTTTCTCTGTAAATTTTTGATTTTTGCAAAATTGTGTATATCTTTTTGTGTGAAAAGACTGACAAGGATCAGTTTCACCAGTTAAAATCAAAACCTTAAAATTCCATGCGTATACTACCTTACAGCGAAAGGAATTTAGAGTTTTCCAACTACAAACCACTAGTATTAAACATTTATGGTTTTATTATAAAGACTCGAGATGAAAATCATATTTCAGTGACAAGATATGAAAATAACATATATTGGAAAAAATGCATCAAGAATAATGTAAACTTTTGCTTTTTTAGAAGGCTTATGCTCCCCTGAGACAGAAGCAGCTAATAAAGAAAGAGCCAACAGTTATAAAAGTCCTCGTACTCAGGACCTTACTGCCAAACTTCGGAAGGCTGTAGAGAAAGGAGATGAAGCAACATTTTCAGAGCTTATTTGGAGTAATCCACGTTATCTAATTGGATCTGGAGACAACCCAACAGTGGTACAAGTAAGAGTGTTTTCTAGCTGTGATCAAAGTAGAATTGGAAAAAAGCCCTCCTTTCCCTTCTTCCCAGCCTCAAAACCAAATATAATTAATAGAAATAGTTAATAAAGAGCTACTCTTGTCCAGCTGCCACCAGAACGGAACCATCCAATTCTGTGGTTAGTGAAGCTGGGTGACTTGCAACTGGCTTCTTCCTCTGTGTTTTATCTATTCTAAATTCATGCTTCATTTAACTCATTCTCATTTGAAATTGACCTGGTTTTGTTAACAGTATGAAGTTTTTCTACCTTAGTCAATGGCCAGAACCTCATAGTTTGAAGTATTTTGGCTCCCCAGCTGATCCCAGGCTCCGCATGGCATTTCAAAGTGGCAGTGCAGCATGGTCAGCGGGGGACTCTGAGTCCTGTGCTGGCCCAGGGTTCCATGTGGGCACTTTTGCTTTGATCCCACTTTTTCTTGTGCATTTCAAAGCTGGCTCCCCTGCATGCCACCCAGAGTCAGCAGGACTTCCCACTGGCCCTGGGATGCACATGGAGTTCCGCATTCCTCCTTTGAAATGTACAAGTGGCCCAGCAGGAGCTCTTTTACATTTCAAAGGAGGAATGCAGAAGTTCCTATCGACTAGACCATCGACTATTTGATTACCCCATCGACTACTCGACTAGAAAATTAACCAATATTTAACATCCTTAGCTCAGACCCCCATGCTCCAATTTCCCCTCACTCATCTCCTGTCCCCATGTTGATACCCTGCACCCCCACTTTGCTTCTACACCCTCCCTCACTCCTGACCACAATCTGCACCCTCCTTTGGTCCTACGGCCTCTCTCCTGATCAGATACCCTATTTCCAGCCTGCTTCTGCACCCCATCTCCCACCCAGACTTCACCCCCTCACCTCCTTCTTCACTCCACCTCCCACCCAGATCCTGCACCCCCATCCCTAGCCCACTCTCTGGCAGACTTATCCAGCACACTGAACCCCTCATTTTTGTCCCCATCCAGAGCCTTAAGAGGTCCACAAAACCCACTTAACTCCGGAACCCCAGAAAAGTAAATCTGGCCCATGGGAAGCCCTGAACCTCAGTCCTCCCTGTCCCTTTTCCTCATCCTATGGGGCTTCAGTGCTAGAAGACTGAGGTGTCTCCGTTGGGGGCCACATCAGTGAGGTGTTGGGGGTTCGGAAGCGTTTTTTGCTATTTGCATATATTTGAATATATATTTGCATGTATATGCAACCACACTTAAGTTGCAGCCCTCGGCATGTGCTGTAGGTATCATTGTGGCCTCTGGGGCTTCCAAAGTTGAGTAGCTCTGATTTAAAGTAAACTGAATTGGCGAAATATTAACTGTTAATATAAAGAAATCCCCTAGTAGTGAAAGTTTGCACAAGTTCAGAGCTCTGCAACAATACTAAAAATATCTTTGGCAGGTGTTTCAGTGTAGGCACAAATCAAAGGGTTAGGTGTTGCAGTGCTTAATATATTTTTACTTTTGTTTTCAGATGAGAACTGTATGTTTAAATTTCCTGCTAGGTGTCTAAGAAATAACCAAACTTTTAAGCCATTATCTGTAAGAGTTAGGTTTATAGGTATGTCTTTTTCTTAAAGAATGTCTGATTCAGTTTTCAGAATACATAAAATGAGACCTACACTGCTTCTTTGAATGATTGCCACGTGCATGAATTCTAAGCATGCTAAGTATCACTTAACTAACTAATCAAATAGTTGATGCATTTTTGCATCAACTACTCAATTAGTCTATTGGATGGCATTTAAAGGGGCAGCATGGCAAGGAACCTGGGATCATCTGTGCGGTGCTGCTGCTTTGAAGTACCCCTATCTTCACCCCCACTTGCTGCCGTTATCTGACTAGCCCTTAACATCTCTAATGGATTCCAAAGCTTTTTTTCCATTAGCAGTACCGGTTGAGCCAACCAACAAGCCCCCTGGAGTGGCACTGCTATGTCAGCACATACAGACCTCTGCTGGACCTCCACCTCCTCAGTTCCTTCTTTCAGCTTGTGACGGTAGCTGGAGTGCTGACTACATTTAGTCCCTACCCTTAGTGCATTTACACAGGTGTTCTTCCAAATTATTTAGTAATTAGTTTAGATAGTGTCAGTAGTCTAGATAAGAGAAGGGAGTTTTCACCCCCTTTAGCCTCTTCCCAGCTAGGGAGGGGATGCTCGGGCCACGGGGGTTCAAGCCAGGTGCAAAGTGCTTGAAGCCCATGCCCTGCAGCAACCTGCATGACTCTTGCCTAAAGTATGTGAAAGGGCCATTGTACAGACAGTTGCCACATTTGTAAGAGTTTCAAGCCAAGAACAAAGCATGAAAGAGCTTTCTAAGATTCTAAGCTCAAACTCATCCTCAATGAGTCTGCTTTGCAGCCACCAGCACAGGACTGGGCACTGTCAGTGAGAAGTGCACCAGACTTGGTGTGGGAGACCTCATGGCACCGACCAGGTAGGCACTACCTTTTCAAAGTCCTTGGCAGTGCTCACAGTTCCTCGCACTAAGAAGAGAGTGAGGCCACAGAGAGAGATCTCCAGAGAGGCGCAGCCACAAAGTGTGCCCTAAGGAGAGTGCTTGAGTTTGAAAGTGCACCGTGAGGCCCCAGGACCAGCAAGGTGCCCAGCAGAGCTCAATGCAGAGGGAGAATCCAGTACCAGAGCTGGTAATTGAAGGAAACTCTGGCAACTGTAAACTCCAGAGACATTTGACGTGGCACAGGAGCATATTGAGTTGATCTCGTCCCCGCACCTCAAGACCTTGGCACCGTGTTGGCAGGCACATCCTGAGCCTTGGGCACTTACCCCAGCACAGGCTGAGGTGCCCCAACCGGTACCAAGCACCCACTTGGGCCCAACACCATCAGAGCCAGCACTGGTGAAGTTGCCAGCACCAGGATATTCGTGGGGACCACTGCTGGCACCTATGCCTACGCCAGCGGCACCGGGAACTCTGGCACCGCAACACTTAGCTGCCTCTGACGGCACAAGGAAGTTTCCAGTCCGGCCCCCAATATCGCTATATGGTGTCCCAACAGCACCGTATCAGTTAGTGTCACCCAACCAGTTACCTCCCATGGTCACCATGACACAGATAATACCTCTGCCAACACTGGGCCAGGTGCACAGGCAGAAACCCACGGCCGTGCACTGACAATCACATAGATCCCTAGCACCACCATAGTCGGCATCCAATTATTCTTTGGAATCGGAAACATAGCTGGTGCATTCTAAGACGTCTTCATATTGGTCCAGATCTCAGCATCGCTCCCACTGCGGACATAGGCCTCGTCGCCGAAGCCCATCAGTGAGCCAGATTTGGCCACCCCAGTGACAGCCGCAACCATAGTGGACGCCTTAGGCCTGCCACCAGGTCCAGGGCCCACCACTGTCCAGATGGCTGTTGGTAACATCACACCCAAGAAGTGCCCCCTCAGCTACTCCTTTCCCTAGAGTCCCCACTTTGGAATTGGCCTAGTCCTGAAGTAAGGATGTGGTGAGACTTCCTATAGAAGGGAAGGGCCCTATGCTTTTGGCAACAAGGTGAGTGGCAGGTAAGGATACCCCTTCTGCTGTAGTTCATGGACAGCTGGCAGAATTGACAGAGGAGCAGCTGGGGGTCAAGGAGTCATCGTACGCCTCACCTGACAAGGCCTTGGCAAACTGTGCCCTGCCATTTCCATCTATGCCAGGGCCCACCAAGACTTTCTTAGAAGGCTGGTAGCCAATTTGGGGTGCAGGCAGGAGGTTTAGGAGGAGTCTGATCCAATGGTGGACATCCTTATGGCAAACACCTCGGGTATAGTGGCACTATCGATCAATAAAATGGTGGACTAGATATCCAGAACTTTATGGCAGATCCCTGCCTTTATTCCCCCCACATAAAAAGGGGTTGAGGCGCACTACTTTGTGCCCCAAGTGGGGCACGAGCACCTCTTCATGCACCCTCCTCCGGGCTCATTGGTGGTGCAGGCTGCAGGTCAGAAAGAGCACCAAGGACCTGTGGGGCCCGCGCCAAAGTCTTAAGGAGCCCAAAAAACTTGATTTTCTGGGGAGACAGGCCTTTGCCACGGAGGACCTGCAACTCTGCATCACGAATCAGCAAGCGACGCTGAGTAAGTACGCCTACAACACGTGGGTGGCCATGGATAAATTTAAGGATTGTCTCCCCAAGAATCAAGAGTATGGTGCTCTAGCAGAGGAGGGTAGGACAGTGGCCCATACCATAGTCCTGGGTATAGTGATTAGGAGGGGCGCCTTGATATCACTTCCAAGGTCCAGATTACCCTGCAGGACCTACCATTCGAAGGGTCTGGCCTCTTCTCGGACCAGACGGACTCAAGGCTGTATAACCTCAAAGATTCTAGGGCTACCCTAAAGTCTTTGGGGATACATACTCGGGCACCGCAGAGAAGGCCACTCACCCCCAAGCCAGCCCCAAGGCCCTTCCAACAAGGGTTCGACCCTGATGGGGGTAGGAGGAGGAGAAGGAAAAATGGCTGTAATGGGGTATGTTTGAGGACAGCATTACTGTCTCTGTCCCGTTGCCCCTTTTGGTTGTCGATTTCCCTTTTCTACCAAGCTTGGTTCCAGATTACGTCCAATGAGTGGATTCTAGACCTAGTGCAAAGAGGTTATGTCATTCCCTTTCTTTCCCTCCCTTCCTCCCGCCCTCCTTCCTCATCCTTCTTCAGAGACCCCTCTCTTGAGCACCTGCTGAGGCAGGAAGTGTCCTTGCTTCTGCAGCTGTGGGCAGTCAAACTTGTGCCAAAGGGATTTCAGAGGGAAGGGATTTTACTCCCCCCTATTTTTTTATTCTCAGGTCCAAAGGGGGACTATGCCCCATTCTAGACTTAAGGAACTTAAACTCATTTGTAAAGAAAACAAAATTTCAAATGGTCACCTTGGCATCTATCATCCCTTTCCTCCAGAAAGGAGACTGGTAGGCTGCCCTTGATCTGAAGGACGGGTACTTTCACATCTCAGTGATCCCCATCCATAGGAGATTTCTGAGGCTTATACTGGGTCAGGATCACTTCCAATTTGCCTTCCTATTGTTCGGTCTCTCCACAGCCTGAGGGTCAATACCAAATGCATGTCTGTAGTAGCGGCTATCCTGAGGAGGCATAGGATTCAGGTTTTTCCATACTTGGACAATTGGCTGGTAAGAAGGTCATCCTGGGAACAAGTATTAGGCCATATAGCTCTGACCAGGAAATTGTTCTCCAACCTAGGCCTCCTTATAAATGAGGAGAAATCCATGCTCAACCACTTGCAGATAATAGAATTTGTTGGGACCCACCTAGATTACACTGTGGAAAGGGCGTCTCTTCCCCAAGCCAGATTCATGACTGAGTTTCATGGTCCAGAACCTCCAAAGGTCCCCTATGACAACAGCGAGAACGTATATGAAGTTGCTGGGTCATATGGCAGCATGTACACGTGATGAGGTATGCCAGGCTGAAGCTCTGACCCCTAAAGAAGTGGTTGTTGAGCATACACAACCTGGCACGAGCACCACTAGATGCTCCGCTCACTGGACTAAGTGGCTGCAGGAGAGGATGGTCTGTGCGGGAGTCCCATTTGTCAGACAGGTGCTGCTGCTGTTGGATGCATCTGACATGGGCTGGGGGGCCCATCCGGGGAATCTCAGTACTCATGGTATGTAGTCCCCCAGGGAGAATTCCATACACATAAACGTCAAAGAGCTCAAGACAGTCAGGTTGGTGTGCCAGACTTTCCTTCCCCAACTGAAATACAGGATGGTCTCGGTGTAGACGGACACCACGACAGCCATGTATTATATCAACAAACAGGATGGAGCTCACTCCTCTCCCCTTTGCAAGGAAGCCCTATGTCTGTGGGAGTTATGTATCGCACAGAACATCTATATTGAGGTGACCTATCTTCCGGGAAACAGCAGCGTTTAGGTGGACAAGCTCAGCAAGTCCTTTTGGGCCCATGAATGGTCTATCAGACCAGATATCGTATCAGAGGTCTTCCAGAGGAGGAGCTATCCCCGTCTGGACCTGTTTGCCACACAAGGGAACACCCAGTTCCAGAACTATTGCTCATACATGAGTCAAGGGCGCCTCTCTAGGCGTAGAGTGGAGTTTTGGGAAGAAAACCAGTAGGTAAATGTCTTGGGGCATATGAAAATGTGAGACCGCCTTAGGGAGGAAAGCTAGATGGGCACATAGACTAACCTTAATGTTCATGTTCAGTAGCTACAGGAGCTATTGTGCACTTGCCCCCTGTTCCCACTGATTCACAAGGTCCTACTCGGGATCAGAAGACTCAGGGCTGCGATCAATATGGTGGCGCCGGCATGACCCCAGCAGCAGTGGTTTACCACCATTCTAGACCTGGAGCTGGGAGACCCAGTGATACTGCTACTGGTTCAAGTCCTGATTATTAGGACCTGGGGAAGGGGAAGCTATGCCACCCAAACCTATTGTCCGTCCACCTTGTGGCATGGAACTTTCGTAGTTAATGGGGACAGAGCAACTGTGTTCAGAGGAGGTGTGGAAGGTCCTCGAGAGTAGAAAGCCTTCCACAAGGGTGGTATATGAGGCCAAGTGGAAATACTTTGCCTCGTGGGTGGAGCAGGCGGAAACAGACCCAAAGGGTGCCTCAGTCCCTCTTATTTTGGATTACCTCCTGCACCTCAGACACCAGGGCCTTGCTGCATCTTCCCTGAGTTGGCCAAAGTTGTGGCTTTTCACCTGAGGAAGGGAGATAGGACAGTTTTCATGAACACAATGACTCACTTCCTGAAGGAGATGGACAAGTGGTTCCCCTACATGTGGCCACCTGTACCCCAATGGGATCTGAATTTAGTCCTGACAGGTCTCATGCGGGACCCCTGTGAGCACTTGGCCACCTGCTCGCTGAAGCACCTATCTTGGAAAGTGGTTTTCATGATTGTAGTCACTTCAGCCAGGAGAATTTCAGAGTTGAGGGCCCTTATATTGGAGCCTCCATACATGGATTTCTTTAAGGACAGGTAAAACAAAATACAGGACTATGTAGCACTTTAAAGATTAACAAGATGGTTTATTAGTCTTTAAAGTGCTACATAGTCCTGTATTTTGTTTTAGCGACACCAGACTAACACGGCTACATTTCTATCACTACTCTTTAAGGACAGGGTTAGTCTACATTTCCATCTAGCTTTCCTCCCTAAAGTAGTCTCAAATTTTCATATGCCCCAAGACATTTACCTACTGGTTTTCTATCCGAAACCCCACTCTGTGCCTAGAGAGCAGGCGCTACATTCTCTAGATGTTAGATAAGCACTAGTGTTTTATATAGAGAGAACAAGAGAGTTCGGTAGATACCCACAATTTCTTATTTCTGTAGCAGAGAAGATGAAGGGCTTACTAGTCGGCCCAGTGCTTATCGTCCTGGATCACTTCATTAGAGCTTGCTATAACCTTGCTAGTAGGCCAGCATCCCCGCTGACGGCCCATTCCACAAGGGTGCAGGTGTCATTCATAGCATTTGTTGCACAGGTGCCCATTCTTGACATCTGCAGAGCAGCTACATGGTCCTCTGTTCACACATTTTCTAGTCATTACGTGATTGCTCAGCAGGCCAAGGAAGATGCGGCCTTTGGAAGGTCTGTGCTGCAGTTCATTGTGAATTAGGTGTTGAAAGACTCTAACTCCACCTCCTAGGGTACTATTAGGCAGTTACCTAATTGGAATGGACACAAGCAAACACTTGAAGAAGAAAAAACAGTTACTTACTTCTGTAATTGTTGTTCTTCAAGATGTGTTGCTCATGACCATTCCAGATCCTACACACCTCCCCTTCATCAGAGGATTCCGGCTAGAAGGAACTCGGAGAGTGGAGGGCCTGCAGGGATATATATGCTCTGATGTAGCAGCGCCACTCCAAAGAGCTCCCTGGCTGACCTAACAGGTACTGCTAAGGGAAAATAGCTCCAGAATCTGTGTGTGTGGCACGCGCACACCTAATTGGAATGGACATGAGCAACACATCTCAAAGAACAACAGTTCCATTTGTTAGAATGAGTAACCATTTTTTCCTTAATTATAAAAAGAGGGCTTAGAATTTAAAAATATTTTTCATTTCATCCAAGTCCTGTTAGTTCATAGTACACCTGAACCTCTTTAATATGGCTAAACTGGGAAATAGGGTATTCTCGATTAAAGAATTTTCTGATCCAGAAAGGGCATTGTGAAGTCTGAACATGGGGAGAATAGTGCTTACCTGGTGCCCTGCTCGTGGGGGCATGCATATGTCCACTCCTCCCTACCACTTCCAGGCACCGCCTCCCTATCATTATAGGAGCAATGGGGAAAAGCCTCAGGAGAAGCTCTCAAGCTTGGGTGGGGAGAGGGAGAGTGGGAGCAGCAGCACACACAGCTTTCTTCTCCCCCTGCCAAGGGTCATGTCATGAGGCATTGTCTACACTGCGAACTTTTGCAGCAGAAAATATGCTAATGAGGGATTCATTAGCATAAGTCATGATCTCATTAGTATATTTTCTGTGTCCCTCATTAGCATATTTTCTGCTACAAAAACTCACGTAGCCTGGGTGTTTCCGGAGTAGCAATACCTGAAGTACAGAGGTTCAGGTGTACTAGTAAATGTTAATGTCCTCGGATAGAAAGGTGTTGCTTAGGAGCAGAGTTAAATCCAAGCCTATAGTTGTATGAACACTTAAAGGTGTTGCCGAGAGTGTAGATCTGTTAAAATAGGATCTAATATTAGTTGAAAGCAAACAGAATTCTGGGAAATTCTCTAAGGGTATGTCTACATTGCATTCCTCTTCCGAGACGCTGTTCCAGAAAAGCAACAGTCTGCGATTATGCAAATAAAGTGCGGGGAATTCAAATCCACGCGTTATTTGCAATTTCAGGTGTCTGCATTTACATTCCTCTCTCGGAAGAGGAATGCAATGTAGACATACCCTAACTTTTCCTAAGTATACTGTTCCTACTTTTTTCCTTTCATACATTATTAATTGGCAGTGGTTTTTTTTTTTTTTTTTACTTGTTGGACTGTTGCTTAACTATTTCTGGAAATAAATTTGCAGGTGTTGTTTTAAGACAAAATATGTAAGAAACTATTCAGAAAAGGCTGGAGTGCTGACATTGAGTATGGTGTCTGAGTGTATGGGGTTAGCATCATATATATAATTCAATAATAATGAACTCTTACCAGCCACGTAGTGTTAAGGAAGACTGCACATGTTTAAAATCCATTTAGTGGAATAACTGTAGCACAGGATAAACTTAAAAAACAACAAATAGTCTGATAGCACTTTAAAGACTAACAGAATATGTTGGTGGTATCATGAGCTTTTGTGGGCCACTTCTTCAGATGATAGGACAAATGCTGAGATGTTAAGCAGTTCATATGGTGTCTTGAAGCACTAACGTGTTTTCCTCTCTGGAAAAATTGACAAGATGCTGCACTAGACCCAGACTTGTTAGAGCTGGACAGATTTCCCAATATACTTATGCTTTCAGAGTGAATTTTATATACAGCATACAATAAAATTTGTGGTATGTGTATCCAACGGAACTTTACATTTATGGCTTTAATTTTTTCTTGTTGAAGCCATTATGAAGTTCAGAATGTATGGGGCTATTTGGCAAATTATGAAGACATTCTGACCTCTTACTATTTAAATTTGTGTTAAGTATTTGTGAGTTTAAAGCCAGAATAATGTCAATTGTTAGATTGGTAAGAATAACTTGGATAACTTAAAAAATAGTGCAATATATCATCTCTTAAACTACTTTTTTTACAGAAAAAATATTTTTTTTAAAGCAAAAAAATCTAAAAAATTAGATTGAAAAATACTTCCCCAATTAGTTTTGCTGTCAGATTACTGGAGTTTAGCAAGCTGCTTAGATTTAAAATAGTTATTAATGTTTGTATTTCATTTTCAGGAAGGGTGTAGATACAATGTCATGCATGTTGCTGCCAAGGAGAATCAAGCTGGTATATGCCAATTGTTGCTAGACACTTTGGAAAATCCTGAATTTATGCGGCTCATGTATCCAGACGATGATGAAATAATGTTGCAGAATCGCATTAGATATATAGTTGACCTCTACCTTAATACACCCGATAAAATGGTGAGATTAAATGTCTGCTAGCAGTTTCATTGTTATGAAAGGGGGAGAGTGAGTGTCATGAAAATAGTGGTAGAAATGTAGCCATGTTAATCTGGTGCAGCTGAAACAAAAAACAGGACTATGTAGCACTTTAAAGACAAACAAGATTATTTAATAGGTGATGAGCTTTCGTGGGCCAGACCCACTTCCTCAGATCAAATAGTGGAAGAAAATTGTCACAACCATAAATACCAAAGGATACAATTAAAAAACTGGAACACATATGAAAAGGACAAATCAAATTTCAGAACAGATCTTCCCTATTTGATCTGCGGAAGTGGGTCTGGCCCACGAAAGCTCATCATCTATTAAACCATCTTGTTAGTCCTTAAAGTGCTACACAGTCCTGTTTTTTATTTGTGTCATGGAACATTGTTATTTCTTGTATTATAGTAGCAGAGAAATTAATAGGTTGTGTTATGATTTTTTTTAAATAAAATATTTTTAAGAGCACTTGGAGATTAATCGTAATGTGGAAGGGGGGAATAAAATAAATATAGGTTTGGTAACATCTTATTTCTAAATACATATTAAGTGTGGGTAATGATTGAAAAGTTGGGAATGTTCAGAGAAGATGCATGCATAACTTTTTTTCTGTGTTGTAGGGATTTGATACTCCATTGCATTTTGCTTGCAAGTTTGGGAATCTGGATGTGGTTAATGTGCTTACCTCACACCCAGATATTGTAAAAAATCCGAAAAACAAGTATTATCAAACTCCAGCAGAAGTAAGTTTTTCCACATTGGGAGCAGATCTATGATATTTTCAGATGTACATAAATACAGTTTTGATTTTAGGGTTCAAACAAAGATCCCCTGACTAATGTAGTTTAGTAATCTGATGTTCTCAGACAAGAATCTAAGATTAGAATACATCATTACTAATGCTGGAATTTTTAGTACTCATTGCATCTGTGGGAAGGTTCTAAATCAGTGGTGGGCCAAAACAGTGGCAGGGGCTAAGCCACCGCCTCTATTTTTACCTGTGCTTCCTCCACAGGAACGGGCAGTCATAGCTCCCATTGGCTGTACATCATTCTTCCTGGTCAATGGGAACTGTGGGAAGCAGCGCAGACTGGAACACCAGTTCCTGCAGCTCCCATTGGCAAGGAATGGTGATTTGCAGCTAAGAGCAGTGATTGTCCATACCTGAAGATGCATATGAAAATATAGTGGCAGCAGTCTGCCACGGGCTACTCTGGGAAACTTGGTCCGGCCTGCAGACTGGTAGTTTCCTACCCCTTTCTAGTTTGTGGCTCCCTATAATTTCCTGTCTCCACGTTGCATTATATTTAATGACCTATTTCAACTTGTAGATTCTTTTAGAATTGAATGTGAAAGCTGCAAGTTATGATTGGGTGCGCAGCAGTCTACATTGGTAGAGGTGAATTATATGTGTTTTTACTGGAGAGTTGACAGAAAACTTACTTGTAGAAAAGATTTAAACGTGTTTCCAGTTATTTAAAAAAAAAAAAAAAAGCAAGGGTGGGGCAAGAGAATGTGTGTCTGAAGGAGCAGGGGACTTTTGTATCTAAAAAAGACATGAGAATGGGAATTACAAGATAATGTTCAGGGCTTCGCTAATTAAGAGTAACATTTTTTTCTAACAGGTAATCTGCGAAAGAAACAAAAATAAATCAGTCGAACTGAAAGAGAAAATAAGAGAATATTTGAAAGGTTTGTATTCAGAGGTTTCATACATAATCTTTGTTGTGTATGTAACATACAAATACTTAATTTGTTTGCGGTTTAGCCTTATACTTTCATATTTATTTTTAGTTGTGTTCATGTTGACCACTAACCTTGATTTTGATGTATAGTATTTTTATGAGAGAAACTTAACTACTACCAAGGAACAGAAAAATATCTGAAATTGACCCGTTGATCAGTATTTAGAAATTACAGAATAAACAATAATCCTCAAATCCTTGTGAGGTAGGTACTATGCCCTTTTTACAGATAAAAATGCTGAGGTAGAGATTTTAGGCTACTTACTTGCAAGAGGCTGCAAAGAGAATCATCACAGGGATTCATCTTGTTTCCTAGTGCTTGTTCTTAAATGGTAGATATGTGGGTGCACATTTTTGCAGCAAACAGGTTTTGACAGTGCTAAAGATGTCAAGAAGCATATATGTCAGTACAGCAATTCCTTTTTTTGTGAGAAAGGGTCCTAAAATAAAGTCTTCAGCATTTAATACGTATTAGAAGCATGAAGTTTTAATGAAAAAAGATGAAGACTTTCTCTAATGAAATTAAGTAAAATTTCTAGTTGTGCAGATGTAGTGACATTTCTGATATATTCCAGAGACAGACAACAAATTATTGTAATACTAGGTTCTTAAAAATCATATATTTTTGTATTTTTAGGTAGATATTATGTGCCACTCTTGAGAGCGGAAGACAATTCCTCAGCTCCAGTGATTGGTGCACCTTGGTCACCTGATCAGTCAGACGACAACCCCCTTACAGCTTTACCTAAACATGGTGGCAGTCCAAAAGATCCAGTCTTGTCCGTGAGAGCTTTTGCAGGCCCAATGACCCCCTCCAAGGTAAGGAGATAATACAAATGTCATAAAATCAAATACTTTCCTGATTGTGGCTTTCCAACTAGTAATTTGAGCCCAAGCTGATGTTTACTTCATAGGTATAGTTTGTTAATTTTGGAGGCCTCAGTTGTGGGTTCAGCATCATTGCTCTTTTGTTTCAGGAAAAAAAAAGAATTTTTACTATAAAGGGAAAGAAAGGGGGAATGATTTGTACCTTTTGGGAACCCTCTTAAGATATTATTGAGGAGCACTGGTAACTGAGGAGACTGAGTGTATCAGGAAGTGTGGAAAGGTGATTCAATTAATAGAATATTTGAAAACTCTTGTTTACCTATGGGGACACAGTTATATATTTTGAGATGCAGATGACTCCTGATGTATCTCAGTCCTTGAAGATAAGTGCCCTTGTTTCCCATTCCTGAAACAAAAACTGATTTTAGAAATATTTATTAATTGTGAAGATTAAAACATAGCTAAAAATGGCAAAAATCTAGCCTATTCTAACTAAAAGCTGATATTAAATGTTTGAATCACTTTAGTGCCATTTAATCTTGCTCGAAAAGACTAGTAAAATGTTTATCCAATTGAAAATATAGTAATTCCTATTGGATTATAATAAAACAGTCTAATTATAGCAAGTAGTTACTATTCATTAATAGTAATCTTAATTACAAACATCACTGTGTACAGGTCAGACATTTCATCACTTCACTAACTGTACATATTACTCCAGGGATGAGCAAAAGCTTCCTCAGCGAATTCGGCCCACCTTGGGCCTTGATCCAGCCCGCAAGACAATAACAGGCACTGCCCCCTAATTACAGGTCCCTCTGTGGGAGAAAGAGTTCAGCCCTGCCTCTCCGTCCCCCGCGCTGCTGGCTCCTCAACAGGGCCTGCTTCTGCACCCCAGCTCCCTCCCATATCCTGCACCCCATCCCTATCTTACTTGCTGACAGCCCTGTATTGTGCACTGTACCCCTCATTTTTATCCTTACCCCAGAGCCTAAGAAGGTCCATAAAATCCACTAACTCCAGAACCCCGGAAAAGTAAATCTAGTCATGGGAAGCCCTGAATCTGTTTCTCCCTTCCCTACCTCTCACCCCAAGAGGTTGGGGCACCAGAGGAGTGAGGTGTGTTAATTGGGGCCACATCAGCAAGTGTTGGGTTTGGGGGAATTTTTTTTGCATTTCACTTGTGTGGTCCCCAACTAATTTTTTTGTGAGTCACTGACCCCAGACTCAAAAAGGGTTCCCCGCACCTCCCATAAATAAAGAACACGTGGAAATCTTTTGTGTTGGACATAATATTTTATTTAGCTTATCAAACTTCATTTTAAATAAACATGAGAAACTTAAAACACTTAATCTGTTTCATAATTTACATTAAACTTTTCTTACTAGCTGCAGCAAATAAGGTCACTGTACCAGCTCTCAACCTTGTCTTTTCCACCCGAGGCCCAGCCCCTTCCGAAATTTGATACAGAGACAACAGTGTAGGGTGGCAGGATGCCCTGGCTGGGGTGCATGGGGTGGCAGCAGTCCCTGTCTAAGGGGGTCTGAGCTCCTGGACCTGGCATGAGCCAGGCTGTTTGCCTGCCTGGCTTCCTAATACACTTGAAATGCAGAGCCGCAGCAGGGGTAGGTCCTGGACCCACTGTGAGAGGGATTGAGCCAAGCTTGTTGGCCAGTCTGCTAGAAAATGTACTAGCAAGGAGTGGGAGGGGAAAATATGTGTAGTTGGTAGCATTAACCCAGTGGTCCGCAACCTTTTGTGGCTGCCGGGCGCCCAGGGACAGAGCCGCTCACGTGCCGGGCATCCGGGGGTGGGGCCACGCATGCGCCGCGTGCCCGGGGATGGGGGCCGCCCATGCGCCCTGAACCCAGGGCCGGCACCACGCATGTGCCGCGCAAGGGCTGCCCCTGCGCCTGGGGCCGGCACTGCGTGTGTGCTGCATGCTGGGGGTAGGGGGCTGCCCACGCGCCCTGATCCCAGGGCCAGCAACACACAAGGGACGCGC